GAGCACTGCCTTGTTAAACAGATGGGAACGAGTGAATCACTGTGCTGGTGTGGGGTAATTTAATCACACTGACTGCACTAATTTAACGACTCACCACAGAACACATGCACAAATAAATATACGTGCACGTCTGTGTGCACACTCAGACGCACAGTCTGATAAATTATCTCCACTCACACTGCAAACCACAAACAAACACACCAGCTAGAAACCATCTGCTCAGCATGAAGAGAAAGACATCGGCACGTGGCTGCAAAACCCACAGCCGGGTTATCCATTGGTTGGGGTAAGGTGACTGACAAGAGGGCAGAAGCAGCTCCCTGCCATCAGCTGCTGTCCCTCTGAACTCTGGGACTGCTCCTGGTAGCAGAGTTGAACAAAGCCAGTTTATGTTGCCAGTATGCGTCTGTGATTATACTTAAATGTCAGCGTCATTATAAACCCAGTTTACTGTCAAAATGTATTGGAACAGCATTATGCAAATATGTGTGTCTGTCTGTGTGTGTGTGCACCAGAGTGTGTTCGACACTGCCAGCAAGCCAGCGGAGAACATGATGTACACTTCAGTGAAGTGCTCAGATCAGCCTTGGGAGGACTTTCTGTGAATGCAAAACATTTAATGCAGAGCAGTCTTAAACGAACACTGAACTGCTTGAAAAGCCCTGAAGGAAACTCAGTTGGCAGTTTGGGAACAGACACAGCTTCCACAATAATGTGAAAAACACACAACTTAACATCAATAATGCAATAAAGCAGCATTGTTATATAGGGCTGTATCAAATATACGTTAGAAACCACTTTAGAAAAGATTCTAGAGTAAAACTTGTTCCATATGGTTGTAACCTGAGTAAATCATGATAAGAGGGGTGCACTAGCTATAGGTAAAATCCCTCAGTTGAATTATAGAGATAGGAGGCTTGCAACAAACCATAATTTCAAATTTGCATTCATGTGAGGGAACATGAGGCACTTGTGCGTGGCATGAGTGTATAAATCTTTAAACGCCATAAAGACACTAACTGAACAGTGCAGAGGGAAGAGAGAGAGAGAGAGAGAGAGAGAGAGAGAGAGAGAGAGAGAGAGAGAGAGAGAGAGAGAGAGAGAGAGCAGATGATATCGGGTGGAGTACTGCATCAAGGACCCGGCAATCTGAATGTTGTTTCATCTTTATGGTGATCCAAACAGTCAGAGAGAAGGCAGGGGAGAGGGAAGGGCAAAGAGAGAAGGTTCAACCTTATTTGTCCTCTTTGGTGTCACTGCTACACTAGAGAAAATAAGAAAGGACAGTACAGGATTCGTACACAGAGTAGACAGAAGAGATGGGTTGAGAATAGAGTGAGAAGGGAGAACAGCGCCAGAGATGGAAACACTGTAGATGGAGACGCTGGGACTCGCAGACTCCCATCCCCCCCCCAGCGAGACTCACTTCTTGCAGTGCTTTAAACACAGCACCAGTTTATGGCTGTCCTGCTTTAATTCCAGCAGCCCTTTCTTACTGCAGTCTGGCTACACCTCCATTGAACCAACAACAGATGAAAGCTAAACCCCTCTGCAACACTCCTCATTTGAATATGTGTGTGTATATGTGTGTATGATGCACCACCCTGCACACACACATACAGCTCCAAACTATAAAACGTAGCTTTTTCCCTTCAAAGCAGCGGGATGTGACATGTTAGTGATCAGTGAGTGAGTATTCAATTAACTACCGGCACATACCACTGCAAGTTATGATGAGAATAATTATGCGGGAACTTCATTTATATGCTAGAATAATAATAAGGAAAAAAGACTGGAGGGATTTGACTGTTTTCCCTCCTGGCTTTAAAATGATCTTCTCATTCCAATAAATCAAGCAGCACAGTTTCTCTCCACGCTCTGTCACAGACTAAACTCCACATTTTAAGAAACATGTCTCACACACATCTTCCTCTGTGGATCACTGTGTTCATTATATTCACACACACACTGTATTTGCACTGGTTTCATGGTAGGCCTGAATGATATGAGGAAAATCTGTGATGTGCAGATGTTAATGCAACTGTAGCCAGCAGGCTGTGCAGTGAGTAAACCTCTCCCCCCGACGCTTTAAGAGATGCACTAGCGACCGATGGTAGGGCCTGTGGGTTTTAGCCTCCTCGTTTGCGCATCCGTATCCCGTACCCAAGGTCGCTGGTTCGGGTCAGGACCGTGCAGTACCACTCAGGGGCCGGTTGCACTGATTAATATTGCGATGAAATATGACTTGTGATAAATAAACAAATATTGAAGTGTGAATATTAGCTATATAGTTTCAGTGTCAGCCCGACGGTCTTTATATTTTAAATATAACAAAATGTCGTTTCTACAGCAGCAACAGCAAAGTCACTATATAAACTCAATAATATCTGAGTGGAAACAAATCTAAATTGTCAATAAAATAAAAAATACATTATAGTGTTATGTCACACTATAAACGGATATCTCTTTTTGTCTTTTTGATAATTGTTTGGTCTCCAAAATGTAAAAAAAAATGTGTGAGAGAAAAACCCATTTTGACATCTTCAGACCACAGTCCAAAAGTCAAAGACTGTCAATTTCTAATGATATAAAACAGAGAAGCAGCAAATTGTCACATTTGAGAAGTAACGATTATATGTATTGCAACGAATACAAACACAACCACATTTGACATAAGCCAAAATTCATTTTGAACATGAAAGAAGCAGCTGGCTTATTTGGCATAAAAGAAGTGGTAAATAGCTGGTGTACTTTAGAGGACATCAAGCAGTGAAGTGGTTCCACCTGCTACACAGAAACATACTGTAGATTTTAACAGCATCAATAGTATCTTTATGTATTCAGGTTACTCACTTATTCAGCAATCGAAAGTAAGACAGGAATTTTTAGCAGAGTGACATGACACCAACACCAAGCATGAAGACGAAATTAGCAAGTGTTCCTATTGACTGTTTTGTGTCATTTATCATATGTGTTGGAAACAAATTACAATAACAGCAAAATCTACAACAGAACAGAAACCAAACTGGCAAACACACACCTACACACAATTAACCAGATACAGGCATCCACACACTTAATGGGATGCTCAACCAAATCACAGAACAGAGGTGTGTTAAACTGCAGCTGCCCAGCAGTCACATATATCTTTCAGTAGCAGAAAGATCAATTCAATGCGTAGCTCACACTGGTTGCAAATTGCTAAGTGATATATATATGTGTGTGTGTGTGTGTGTGTGTGCAGCACAGAACCATTGGACCCTGACAGCTGGGTAATGTCGAAATGAGCTATCGACCGCCTGTGCCATACAGAGGGGGGGGGGGGGGGGGGGGCGAGGGAGAGAAGGAGATAACCAAGCTCGCAAGACGAAAGAGACAAATCATTTGTAAGTGAAACTGCATAAATGAGAAGAATTACTTTAATTATTTAGTTATTCTTTATGCAAACAAGTTCTTCGCAATTTATCTGTAAATACAAATATATCACAATGCCGGGTGGCGCGGCGGTGCAGCGGTTAGCACTGTCGCCTCACAGCAAGAAGGTTATGGGTTCAAACCCTGGTTGTCCCGGCCTTTCTATGTGGAGTTTGCATGTTCTGCCCGTGTCTGCGTGGGTTCTCTCCAGGTGCTCTGGCTTCCTCCCAAAGACATGCAGACTACGTTAAAATTGTCCTTAGGTGTGAGTGGTTGTTGTTTCGTAGGGCTGTGCGATATGATGATATCTGTCGTTTGACTATAGAAAAATACCTATCGTTTACAATTATGCTATATCGTTGTGTCTCAAAGTCCACACCGTAATATTTCTGCAAGAGGACGGCACTTTACACCGCGAAGTTACTTTTACGTTGGAATTCGGCATCTACTGAATGTCCAACGTAAAATGAATATCCTAAATATATACTATAACAGATACTAAAATCTGATTTTTTGTCATTACAAGCTAAATAAGATCGATGACCTCACAGTAATACCATGGAGTAGACTGCTTATCCTTATGTTTTACTTCAGGGATGAAATTCAGCACATTGACTGATGACACTGAAGTACAAACACACAAGTGCAAAGAAATACACCCCAGTGACAAAACAAAAACACTGTCAAAGCCACCCACATCCCCTAAATCTCACTAATTCTGAACTGCTTTTTTAAATCTCTCTCTCTCCCTACGCCTATTTCTAACCTTCAAACAATCCTTTGAAGAAGTGAAGACCAGACCAAAATGTCCTTGAAATTGGTCCTCACAAAGATAACAATACAAGCCCACACACACACATACACAGACACTCCTGGCCCCCCTCCCTCCAGGAGATCCCCAAGAAACCCCAGCATGTTGTTACATAACACTTCAAAATCTCCACATCTATATTTATAAGCCAGAACAGAGTATTATGTGTGTGTGCGTGTTCTGTAATTACTATGCAGTCAGCATCATCAAAACATCTCTTTGATTAGAGAGAAAGAAAGAGAAAGGAAGAAAGCAAAAAAAGATACATAGGCGGGCAAAGAAACAGGGATATAAAGGAAGTGGAGAGCATAAAAGAACATGTTTTTTAAAGGTTATATAAAAGGACCTGCTTTTTTGTACTGTGCTGATAACTCAGACGGCCTCTTTCTGCTTTATTATGATCTTACACACCAACTGACAGAACGTAAGTGTGTGTGTGGTAAACACAACCAAAGGACCAACTAAAGGATTTTTGTGGCAGAAATTATAAGAAATGTCAGTACTGATAGTTTGCACCTTGAGTCTTGTTTACTTATTCTTTTATGAGATGTTTTCAATAGTAAATGTGCTTTTTGTTAGTGTTAACACATCAGGTGTGCAGCACAGCACCCACTTTCCACACGGCCTGCAGTTCAGCACCATGGATAGCTCCAGGGACGGCCTCACTGCAGCTCCAGTCTATCGCAGCCACTTAACAAGCCGAAAAACTCATTTCAAGATCAAAGAAATGAAGACAGAGGGAGACGTGTAATGACGGCAGGCAGGTCATACTTACTGGGTGTTTGGCTGAGATTCTCCCCGTCACCACGCTGGTCTGGTACCACGTAGAGCAAATGTAGTTCTGATGTGTTGTTGAGAATGACAGAGATACAAAGAGTGTCAAGAGTCAGAGGGAAACTTACAAATCCAACATGTTGGAACATCAACATTTAGAGGCGAAGCTTTACATCTGAATATAAATACTTTCATCGAACTACATAAATGTTTCAAGGAGTCAGCTAGGGGATCAGTAATGTTTCCATATAGCTGAGTCCTCTTTCCAGTTCAGCTTGAAAACAACAGCTGCGATTCCTCATTGCCATCACCGCTCTGATTCTACTTTTGGACCGAAGTGCATCAACAGTGCCATACGACAACTTGAACAGGCTGTTTGTAGACTGTGCTGCCAGAAGATGAGTTGGTGCAATAAGTAGGACATGCAATAATATGCAAGGGTTTCTCGAGTGGAGTTGAGTTGGAGTTGTAAACACCCAATTATACTATAATGGCTTCAGAATCTGGTGTGCTGTCTTGACTAGTAACTATAATGACATGTGACAAATCACTCTATTGGTAAATACACACAAGGCAAGTAGAGCTGGGGAGGTATGATAAGTAGTGTGATATTGGCATGGTAAAAATATCTAATTGATGGAGAGACAGTGAATATATTTGCCATCTTGGCATAATATTCAATTGCCTACCTGTTATTCGGATTTAATTTTATATGAAACCACCAATAACACCGCAAGCTTGACATCTGGGTTATGAGTAAAATAATACAGTATTTGTTTTTGTCGACAGCACCCTCCTCTAGCAGGGATTGTTGCCTGCTCTGGCCAAAAGACCACCAAATGAATCACCACCATCAGACGCCAAACAGCTCAAGAGACAGCCAGACAGACTGATTTGCAAAGTTGAGTAAGCACAGATTGACAAACACAAGCTGCTGCCTCCCGTACAGAGGCGAACCAAGTCCATGTGGAGAGACAGTCAGACAGAAATGCATCTTTTCTTCTGCCAAATCAGTAAACAGGACCAACAGCTTAAAGAGCCCAGCGCAGGCGAGATATTCTACTATTACTTTACAACAGCAGAAGCATCCGGGCCTGTGAGCGCTCTCTGCTGCAGGGGTAGAGCTATGCTGAACGAGTATGAACAGCCTACAGCATCATCACCCCGTTGTTTTCAATTGTAGTACTGAGCACAGCGGTATTATAGTGGTGGCATTCACACCAGCAGCAGCTTTGAAGGTGAAGAGGGTTTGTCTAGTAGCATACAAGCAAGGTTCTAACGCAGAACCAAACTGTGAGTAGAAAAACAAAAGCTGTGGGATGTGTTTGAGTCATTCTACCCTGCAGCTTTCTCACATCTTTTTGTTTAGCTGTTGCAGTCTCAGGGAGAAAGGTCTAGAAAAATCCATCTCCCAGAGTGAGCAAAAAGGCAGTTGAACAGTTATGAAGATCCTGTTTGTGAGATGTCCTTTTTGGTGAATGTTTACATTTGAGGTATTTCATTGACAGTTTTGCTTCGTGGCCTTAAACCAGCTCTATGCTCACCTTGCTCATCATGCATGAAAGAATCCCATCAACAAATGTCGACTTGATTTTGTGCACCTGGGGGTGACAATGCAGACAGTCGTTACTGAAGAAAAATGCTCTGCTACTGCCTACTTTATCCATATATTTTACTCGAAACATAGTTTTCTCTAAACAGACTGTTTATAATACACACTAGCTACCTAACTCTTAGTCTAATTTTGATGACAAGGGACTTTGATAACAAAAGCAAACCCTTTGCTAAACAATGTTTCTGACAATTATGGCACACGAGTAAAGAGCAGCTGAGAAGATAGCTGACCTGTCTATACTCTAGAATGATCTTTGGCAGAGGGTGCAGGTCCTGAAGCTGCAACAACTGCAACAGAACAAGACAGAGAAGAGTAAGGGTGACAGCAAACTGTTAATTAAAACTGCTAACGCAATCCTGTAACTGCTTTCTTTGCTTGCAGCAAATCTGTTTTACTTTTTGTCTTTTCACTATAGGCCAAGTGTTGCCATGCTTTTGTAATGTTCCCTTTAAACTGCATCTGCAGAATAAGTTGGCAACATGCCTGTCTGCCTATTGTCTGTGAAGATTCTCAGTCATCCAGGTTATAGTTATTCAAGGAAGGTTAAAATCAAGGGCAACTGGACTTGTTGAAGATACTTGAAGACGTTCCACCTCTCTTCCAAAACGCTTCTTCAGTTCTGTCTATTTATTGTTTATGTAAACGGGCATGTTGTTTATCAAATACTAAGAGGTAATGATGTTCCAGGATATGAAGTGTGCATGTGTGTTTGTGTGCGTGCCTCTGGATTCCTCGGTATGATTATGTCAGAGCACATATTGAAACTCAAATAAGATTGAGATGGCTTTCTTAGATTAAGGAGATCTGAGGATCAGACTGAGTCTGTGTGTGTGTATTTGTGTGTGTTTATGCGTCTGTGTGTGTTTGTGCGCCGTACTGCAGCTTCTGATGTTGACTGATGTTGTTTGTTGATGGTCTTGGGAAGTTTCTTGTTGCAGCGCTCATGGAGGCACAACTTCTCAAACAGAACCTTCAAACATTGTAAAGCCACAAATCCATAACATTGGAAGATACACACACACACACACACACACACACACACACACACACACACACACACACACACACACACACACACACACACACACACACACACACACACACACACACACACACACACACACACACACACAGAAACTTGTGTGCATACATACAGAATATACATTTACACACAAACACAACGTAGAAGGAGGGAAAGGTCATACACATTGTAGGAATTTCACACTTCACATAACAACATAATTATTATCAGAGGGGCATAGAACACACAGTTACAGGTATAGATAGCAAAAGTATACACGCAAATGCATACAACACACAGGTGTACAAGAGGGTACACACAGTTCGAAGTTGAGTGTTGCTGGTGACCAGGAATTGTTGTCCAGCTGCTCGATGGGCCTCCTGCTCCAGCTGCTTCATCTTAGTCTGACAGAGAGACACAGAGTCAGAGTGAGAGGCAAGAGGAAGGAGAGAGACAGAGAGAGGAGGGAAAGAGAAGATCAAGGTAAGACTTAATCTAAAATATTTCTAAATACTACATACATGACTCAAGGTTTGTTTTAGCCAATTTACCCGTTCTTAGTTACTTTTTAGAGGTTAGACACTAATGATACTAAGTTAATGAACTAATGTGTTATTCAGAGCAGCAACAAATTATAATTGTAATAGAAGCACTGACTGACCCATAAATCAAAAAGAGCGTTGTTGTTCTGCAACATCAGCGGCTGATTTTCTGCAAGATTATCAAACTAATTAACCTGGACTAGATGTCAAAGCTTATGCGGCGTTAAGAACATAACACAGTCCAACACATTATATGTATATATAATATGTACTAGGTAGTCGTTACTGCAAAGTCAGTGTGTAGATTCAAGGCGTTTAATAGCAAAGTGCTATATGAAGGTTTTGACTTTTTACATTATAGTAATTGCTTCATTTAAAATTAAAAATGAATTATTGCCTAAATAATGTCAAAACATTAACTTTAATGCAAGGTACTATTTCTCAAGAATAAGGTACATTTCATTCCATTACAATATTTCATATCTTTGTCAGACTTTTTCCACATAAGCCACTCTATCAGTCAGTAGATTTAAAGCCAATTCAAATATTGGGAGACAGCAATTTATTTATGCCAATATGATGGGGCACCTCATGTCTGTAGCCTGGTGACTGTTAGCTTGCACAATAAGTTTCAAGATAAGTTGATTATCAAACACATTTTCCAGACCTGGGTATAAACCCTGAGGGTAAAGAGGGGAGGTTATTCAAGGAGAGAACTGTTTGTGAGACACAACGCGTCTTCTCCTTCCTTTCAAAGGCCAAAGGCAAAGCACTCTGTTAATCTGTCTAACGCACACATCAGAGTCACATTAGGATCACACACAGGGAAACTGAAGATAAACAGCATAAGCTAAAACTTTCACACACACAAATTATAAAGAACTTAAAAATCGAAAAATACAACAACATACAGATACGTTCAACTACAGAAACACGCACACACACACTTTCTCTAACACACACACTAAATCCTAAACACAGAGAGAGCCAGAGAGGGTTTAATGACTGCTGTGCTAATCCAGTCAAATACAGAATGAACTTTGCTTCCCGGGATGGTTGACAGGCATCATGATAAACTCAGTTAGAGAGACAGGAAGTGAAGGGACACAAAATGCTGGGGGGGGGGGGGGGGGGTCTACAACGAAGAATAACAACTAAAGAGAGGAGGGAATAAAAAGGCACCTGCAATGGAAAACGGATATTGAAGCCACGAAAAGTAAAAGAGACTGATAGATAAGAGAGAAAGGTGGAGGCACTTGATAAAAACATGATAAAAGAGGAAGGCCATGAGGCTGAGTCCCAGAGAGACAGAGATAATGATGAAAACTAATGGAAGAAGACAAAGAAGAGCAAAAAAGGGAGTTTGGTGGGCAGACAATTAAAAGAATGCCTGCTCTTACAATACTGAGCACATGATTTTTTTTTTTTTTTACAACTGGGTTGAAACCCACACACCAGCTGCTCATTACGAGTCTGACTGAAGTAGAAAACACTTCTGTAACGACCTGACAGGCGAAGAAGAGAGTGAGGGAAGAATAGAAAAACAAATGGGAGGGGAGACGGAGAGGTAGGGTGACGTAATGAGAGACAACAGACAGAAAGATTTGGGAATGTGGGAGGGAGAGAGGACATTTGAGAGTTAATGGGTTGAAAACAAGTGTTAAAAATGTGATGCAAATGCCTCACTGGGTAGTCAGGAAAGTGATGGAACAGATGAGGACTCGGCTATGGCTGGACCTTGACAGAAAATGGCATTTGAAACAAACAGACATCAGTCAGAGGAGTGAAACAGACACAACTTGACAGCATGATGAGCAGAGGCGGGAGAAACGACAATAACAGAAAGAGCAATAAAGGAGAGGAGGGTGGAAAGAAAAGAGACAGAGGAATAAAACAGGAAGGCTGGCAGACATGTACCAAAACTCCAAAATATGTACTTTTCCCTCTCTCTCTCGCTCTTAGCCCAGAGCAGACTCCAGACTGCATCATCAATAATACATGCAAGCCCCTTAGTACTGGTAAGATAGAAATCCAATATGCTAGATTAATCATAGCAATGTGTTAAAATGTAGACAGTCTGATCTGGATTTGATCGGTGTTTACAGATGGATGTCCATCTAATCTGAGAAACACAGACAGAGCGTCCTGCTGAATGTGAACAATGATAAAAAGAGCATGTGCGCATGTTTGTAAGGTGCAGGCTGTCAGACAGGAGGGATCTTCTGTTCAGTGTTCAGACAGGTGAACTTGACAGCACAGACAAAAACAAATCCAACAAGACGGGGGGGGGGCATCCGTGGTTGCACTCACAGGCACATGTTATAAAAACACAAGCCCACATACGCACACAAATCCGCAGCAGTCTGCAAAAGCTACAGCGCCTCAGCATGTGTGTGTGCTGGCAGAGACAGTGATGCTCCTTCCTGCAGCACAGCCTCTTAAAGGAGAAAGACAGACTCTCCATCCTATTAATAGCAACACAGCAAGATACCAAAAGACTCTCTCTCTCTCCACAACAACTCCCCTCGCTGGCGTCTGCAAGAGTTATAAGTAGGTTTAAGAGTGTGTGTTGTTCTGTGGCTCTATTAGAAATGTGTGTGTGGGGGGGGGCTCATCATGCATTTGTCCACAACATCTGCACGTCTGTCTTTGTGTGTCCGCGATCACTCGCACCGGAGGACGTCCACCCACCACCTCACTAATCTTACCCAGAAGAAGTAAAGGAGACATTTTATTTTTCATTCCCTCTCAGGTTCTTGTTTTTCTTCTTCTTCCGTTTCTCATATCCACCCACTGTTTTGCTCCAATTTGTCTTAATACAGCAGCTGTCTACAGCACTTTACTACACTGTCAGCTAAGAGTGATGCAGCACAAATCTTAGCTGATCCTGAACATCATACCTACATGCAGACTGGCCAAAACTAAGTTTCCATTGATCAACACATGAAGGCTGTTACAAAGCACTCCAACACATTTTCCTCTTCAAAACAATGACTCACGTAAAGATTCTCATTTCATAACTGCCTTTTAGGATTCTGGTGAGGGTCCAGTTTGCTATGACGACTGCTCCAAAATGCCTAAGGGTTATTTCCATTCACTTTCTTTTAAATAAATTATGCATCTGTGGAAGGAAACTAACTGAAATGGAAAGAAATAACTAGAATTGTATGGAAACACCTAGACCGGTCAGTTTTAAAAACCTTACTTTCTGGATTGTCTCAAAATCAGATCATGATCGTCTGTGTGCTTCAAAAAGAAACATACATACAATACTGTTAAGAATACTAATTGGAAATACATTATAGTTATAAGTTATATTAAGTGTGCTGGTGAAAGTCCTGTGCTGCTGCAGAGGCAGTATAATGGAAAATTTATTTTTGTGTATACTGCTCCCGTTCCATTGTTGTGTTCTGGTGGGAAATTAACATCAGCCACGAGGAAAATGTTGATAACTCCTGGCTATGAGAGAAAAGTTTGCCTACTCTGCCAGCAGCGATATGAAATACTGATTACACTAATAGGGAAACTTTAAACTACACTAGCCGTAACATTCAGTGTCTGATGTTCGGCCTTACCCCCAGCATGTCTGACGTTCTCTGAAGAGCTTCTTTGTCCACATGGATGTGATGGATCTCCATAACTGAAACAACATAAGTATTTACTGATCCACAGGATCTAACACAGTAAATCTGTCTACCACTAGGAAGATGTAAAGCTGAATATGGGCAGCTCTAATCAAGTTTCTAATTGATTGAATTAGAGCACTAACAATATTTTTAGTAACGTAATATTGTCTCCAAATACCAGCCAATAAGGCTTCTAATGCAGCCTAATACACATGTTGCTGTTTGCACTTAATTGTGGTTATGCTCGATATTTTCACAAAACATGCACTGCATTAGGGTGAAAAAGTCATGTTTTAAATATGTGTTCAATGTCTACTGAAGAAAAACTGGTTTTCACCTGCCAGAACAGTGATCATGTTCAGCTCCATGTCCGAGTACAGCTCCCACAGCCCCTGGCTCTAGACACACAAATAGTCAGATAATGTGTTGTGTGTCTATATTGTATGTACAAGCTTGTGTGTGCGCGCACATATAAACTAACCTGTAGTTTAGAGCACAGCTCCATGTGAAGCCAGTAGAGCGAATACAGACCTGAGATGACCTGAGAGACCTGAGAGTGAGTGAGACAGGCAGACAGACAGACAGAGAGAAACATGCTCAGCTTGCTTTCTGAAGAAAGAGAGTGCAGGGACCAGGGAATCTGTGCTTACATGGAGTAACTGTCTTAGAGGCCGCTCTATCCTTTCACAGACAGATTTCAGAATGTAAATGCCAGCCGCTGTCTATTTAGAGATAATTTGGTGAAGTATTGACTTGTTAAAGTGTCCCCCGCCATGGATTTGTTCTGTAGGTGACACATCTCAACATAGAAATCCACATTTGAACTAACCTTCTTGGTACCCAGGGCAGGTGTTGTACGAGGTCTTTTGCTGTGTTTATTGAGAAGGTCCTGGTAGCAAGAGGAGGAATTTGCAGGATCCAGTAGCCACCCTGACACCTGCGGGTCCTGGATATGACAGCCTGCCACTGGAGAGAGAGGGCGGTTCTTTATGATATTGAGCAGTATTCAACATGATGTACTGTGTACTGATGAGAGACTAGCAACAAAACTTTGGAGATTACTGCACATCTTGTCATTACTGAAGTCCACTGTAAACAACAATAATTCAAGCTGTCTATAGCTGCTGTTGATTGTGAAGAACAAAACTAAACACTTTCCTACAAAACTGCAAAGAAGTGTTATTTTTTCACATTAAATTGCTTGTGCCTTGGCTGGTTTTGTTGATCACACTGAATGGAATAAGTAAATATTGAGAAGAAACTACAAACTTTTAAACAGCCACCTTTCAAGACTAAATGTTTGATACTCAAAGATACATTTTGGGCGCAGTACCAAGATGTGCTTGTATTTGTTTTTCCACATATGTATGTGCATCTATGTATGTGTGCTCTGCCTTGTTTCCAGCTGAGGTCTCGTCTGTAAAACTGCAGAGCTGTGCGAAGTAAATCCTTGGCTTTATAGCACACCACCAGTTGAGTTCTTGATAGCACCTGTAGCAGCATATCTCTGAGGAACGCGCACACACACACACACACACACACGCACGCACATATAAGTACATGCATAAACCTTTTTTTAGATGGATTCAAAAACGCATAAATGGACGCACTGTAAACTCACACTTCAAATTCACATTCATTATCAAATTCACTCTCACATCTCTCTCATACAAACACACACAGACCTCGTAAAGAGCTCCTGGCTCTGGTGTGTGTGTTGCTGGGCCCATGCAGGTGTGTGCTCTAATTTTAAGTAGATCAGACTGTCGTTTGGCCCGAGCGAGTCCTCTGGCGTGCTGCAGTCGAGGTTGTTCTTCATCAGTATGAGGAGGCCACACACCGGCGGACTGAGCTTCTATATCAAGGTTCAGAGGGGGAAATTAACATGAGCAAACAGTTAATGAAGCGGTGAGCCACAAGAGTAAATGGTTCACACTAATCTTTTAACAACTGGGACAGATACTAGGCACGGGACAAATTCTTTTTTAGTCTTTCTTCCTTTACAGCTGAAACTGAAAAGCCCTTCAGAAATAAGTACCTGACCTGGTGCTATATGTTACCTATGGACAATAAGTCTCCCGACTTCATCAGCCACAAAAAGTTTTTGTTCAGTGGTCACTTTATAAAATCCATCGTTGTTTTTTCATCTTATTTAAAAGCTCCACACTTGTGGCCCTGCTCACCTGTTCTGAGTCTAACTGGGTTGTTCCATCTCGGTGCACCAACGTTAGCACCAGCGCCTTGGCCTTCCCAGCCTTCTCAAGCATTTGCATCTTCTCGTCTTGGTTCAGCCTCCCAGAATCTTCTACTCTGGGGTCAGATGTCAAGGCTGCAGTCAGACAGCTAGCTTTGGATTGGTTCTGTAGCTCACCACCATTAGCCCCCTCACGGGATATGTTCGTTCCCTGGTCAGGGCCACATTTGGCCCACTTGTGCTTGAATGGTTTGCAGGTCAAGGTCACAGAAGATGAGGCCTGTTTGGAAACATTCATATCTGATTCACGAGACATTTTTTTCACTTTACTCTGCTGAATTTGTGGAGTTTGCTTTGCAGCATACATGTCTCTGTGTACCACTGTTTCTGTTTCATGAGAAGGACTAACTTTGGTCTGTGGTTCTGGGGGTACAGCTGGGAGTTCAAGGTTAGAGGTTTTGGGTCTGGATCTCTTCGGCTCGTTGACTCTCCCTCCTGCTTTTTCTTGTGAGGAGTGAGTTAGCTGCCATTTTGGAGGACGTCTGGTTAGATAGATTTCAGGAGGAGGGTGAGCATTTTGGTGCTGAAGTACTTCATTTTTCCTCTTTAATGGGAGGGAGGGGATCAGAGGAGGAAGATGTGAATGAGTTTGGGAAGTAGGTAGGTTGCTGTTTTCCAGCTTTGTGCTTGCTTTTCTAGCAGTGGAGGCCAAGTCCTGCACAGAGGAGGGGTTTTGTCCAGCAGCAGAGGTGCTTGCTGGGGCCAGTAAAACGCTTGAACTGCTCCCTTTGATACTTCCATTAGCAGTCTACACGACAGAAAAGGTGAACAGTGTGCGGTCAAATGGGGGGAACAGGAAACAGAGAGAACAGGGGAGGCAAGAATATTTTTAGACAGACTCATTCTGCAACATCAGAAGGCACTTGAAAACAGTCTCTCATGGTCTGTGTTTGTTTTGTTACAAAATCAATACATAAGAGCCAACAGTTAGAAAAGTCATCAGAATGAAGTTACAGTTTCTAGTGTGCATATTTAGCTTTAACACAGAGACAATTGCTTGCCTTATTAGGGTACTCTCATTCATGTTCTGCGTCTAGTTGGATAATACTAAATTTGCGAAAGAGACAGAAAGTACAGACGAGCAGCAGGAAAGAGAAAAAAGAGGAAGTGAAGGGAGGACTGTGGCACACATTCAGCCCTCAGCGCTGTGTCCCAGACAAAAACACAGACAGTGAAGACGCTGTTTGTCTGACAGCCTGTCTGAAGTAGTCACTCAGTCGTACTTATTTATTTTTCATGAAGAAAAAAAGCCAGCTTGTTTTGCCCTGATAACAATGACACTATCCAATGTGTTCAATGAACTAATCTGACAGATTACATGTGTAGAACATACTGTGTATAATATATGTGGTCTGTGCTGTATATGTATGTACTCTAACTGATAATATGTCACACAGTGAGTATGGTACTTTATGTTAGGCTCTGTAAGAGGTGCAGGTGGTCACCCACAGAATAATCCCATAGAGGCCAGTGGAGAAGTGGGAGGATGGAAAAAAAGGTGAGACAGAAATATGAGTGCCATCTCCTAAAAGTACAGCCTCACCTCCCTGTAACCTTCCCAGCATCTAATAAACATCTCCATTATTCATACTCGCAGCTCGCATCTGTATTTATGCAAAAGCGTGTGCATGAGCAGTTGTGCTCTTTGAAATCTAGGTATGAAATGTGAAGTTGGGTATTCGGAGGAATTTTTTTCAGACCGTGTGTGGGTTTGTGTATGCACACAATTCTGTATGGTTGTCAGCGGCTCAGCATGTAGGGATTCCAGTGATTCAGCTCCCCAAGGAGAGTCTTCCTCATTTCCCTGTAAACACAACCCGTTTTCCAGCTGACAAAGTCACGAACCCCCCCAGGGTGCTGTGCTACAGGATATAGATAGAAAACTGAGGCAGGCCGTGGCCGTAGCCCAGTACTGGAATGAATAAGGGGAAGGAGAGAGAGAGTGGACTGATGTGTTTACTGCTGATTGTAGTTATACAGTGAAGTCCTGCACCTCTTTCTAACTTTCTCCTCCTCTGTCTTTCAGCCTCTCCCACTTCTCTCCCCTACGTCCTTTCTCTATCGCTCTCCCACACCATCCTCCCATCTCCACGCCTCCCTTCCCCCCTTTATAGTTCTTTCTCTTTGCTGCTCCCTCCCCCTATCTGCAATATGCATAGTGAACTACCTCGTCAGGGCTTTTTTCTTTTTTCCTTTACTTTACGTCTCATTGGAGAGCTATCACTTGTCAGCAAGCTGCAATATACTGCCGACGGCACCCAGTTTCACACAACCCTGATTGATTTTTATGCGCATCGGGGAAACAGAAGCCTAATCCTTTTGAAAGCAGCTATTCAAATTTTAGGACTTTTTGGTGTGTTGCTGCTGTACACACTGTTTCCTTGGCCTACAGGGATTACAGAGGTAGAGTGGGACACAGACAATAACAGGAAAAAAAAAGAAATCAGCATTTCCGTATAAAAAGACAAGTAAACAAATCTTAGCAAGTGAGACACTTTTTCTTGAAAGTAGACTTTCTTAAAGGACAAAATTATAAAACTGATTTTTACATCTTGCTGACTCTGTGGGCTGTATCAAATAGGGCATAAACATTTTAAAATAGTATTAAAAATAAATTATTGCTTTATGTAAGTTAAGTATAGCTGTTGTGCAACTTGTGAGTCTTGTTCCACGGAGACTCACATGTACATTTTCATGGTTCTGGTGGTTCCCACGGAGACAAGGAGCTCTGAAGCGTGAACTTTTTTCCGTGCACTCCTGCGACAATGTTGCCGTGGAATAACTTTCTCTAGCCGAGTCCTCTAGAAGGGAGATGGTGAGAGGATTTCTATTAGATCATCACTTTTCTGACACATTCTCAATCAATGAACCCATGTGTGTGTTTGGTTTGAATAAGCATGTATGGGCACTTTTACAGTGTGTGTGTGTGTTTGTGTGTGTGTGTGTCAACACAAGGTCACTAACGCTAGAAATCCTGGCTAAGATCAAACTGACATTTTGCAACAACACAACTTGCAACTTGTTTGTGTGTGTTCTTGTAGATGTGTATGCTTGTACGTGAGTTGACTCAGCATTGTCTCAGCAGCTGAGACTCAAGCTCCTTTCCTGCGGCTGTAATGTGAGCAGGAACACAACATCCCTCATCAGTGCTGAGGCTCTGTCATCAACTCCACTCCGATAAAAGAAAGACAGCAGAAAGCCATATGCAAGAGTTTGATATAACTTGAAATGCTTTAGCACCCCCTAACTGTTTTTTCAAGAATAAATTAATAACAAGCATGTCCTGGGAAGAAAAAGAGCACTTCATTTTTAAATATCTATTTATAAACTTAGTAGTAGTACACTTTCTGGTTCCGTATTCAGAATATGAACCTCCACACACCCCTCCTCATTAATGTAATACAGCCCCAGCACTCTGGCTTTAACAATACGAATATCCTTTTAGTAATTATTTGAGTCTCTCTCCCTTTTAAACACATAGCATAATATTGCTTGAGTCATTTAAAGAGACCCAATGGCGTGGTGAATTCTTCATTGATCCTGTTATGTATTGTTGGAGTGCATTTACTCTTTCAGTAGCAAAGTATTCGAGCACTCTCTACTGGTAAATGCTGTAAACTGCAATTTGTTGATGTGGGCGAGACTAGATCAGTCACCACTAAATTTAAACTGAGCATATAGTTCCTGGATCGCCTGTGATTCACTCAAATAAGAACAAATGCTACATGTACAAGTTAAAGATGGCCACCGTAAAGAAACCAAGACGATGTGACAGTGTTATTAAAAAGAGGCCCATCGAGCACTTACCTTCAGATGCACTCTCATCCTCACTGTCCACAGGTGGCATCACGGACTCATGTCTGTCTTTGCCCCTCCCTCCCAGCTCAATGTCTATTTCAGGTAATTCACCGACTTCTCTAGAATCAGTCTCACACGTTCTCTCTCTTTGTTGGACGTCAGAACGACAGTGCTGCTCTGTCTCCATCTTATCTTCAGTGCTTGCCTTTGTCCTGTTCTCTGCTTCCACTTCCAACCTGACCTCCATCACATCTATTCTTTCCTCAGCGGTTCCTTTCAGATTATCAGCAGTGTTGTTGCCCGGGACTAATTTGGTCTCACACTGCACCAATGGGTTTTCTGTGTGGAGCTTCTCTCCTGTTTCAGTCACAGCCTGGCCCTTGTCCTGAGGGGTTGCAGTCTGGCAGAGGCTCACCTCGTGGTCGGCCCTTTTTAATGCTGCTGAGACCTTTTTTGGACTGCCAGTGTGACCTCCCACTAATATCTCTTTAGACTTAAAGCCAGGTGGATGTTCAGCTTCTTTGACTTCAGGTGTATCAACTCTGCACTCGAAGTCATTCTCTTCTTTCTCCCCAAGCTTTTCTCCTTCACTATCACAGTGAAAGATTTTGTCCATGATGGTTGCTGTAGATAACAAGTTAAAATTCCTCTCTAAACTAGTGCTCTTATTGGTTCCCAAGAGCCGAATTCCCCCCGTTTCACTGGCTGATCCTTTCTCATTTCGCAGGGTTGCATCCATATGACCTCTCTCATTCCACGTAACTCCATCCTGCACTTCATGTTCTGTGTTTAACATTTGTCCCAAACCAGCCTCAGTCACATCTTCTGTATCCACTATCATCTCCAAACTTTCCTCTATAACTAGATTTCTCATCGCCTTGCCTGAATGTGCATCACAGCCTGTCTCCTCTCTTGTTGCACAGCCACTGGGATGTACATGTATCCTTCCAGTTTTGACTGTTTCAGACTCTGGATGCTGATATAGTATGCCTCCATCAGTGGTCTCTTCAGTAGAGTTGGATAGACCTAGATTCCGCTTTGCTTGACTGTCTTCTAGTTCATTTCTGGAGGTTTTCCAGCTCTCTGTAACTTTGTTTTCTTTCTGTGCACCTGATGTGAAATGTGTCTCTTCACTTATTTTAAGGCTGGATAAAACTGGGCGGCAAGCCAAAGGCTCCTCTTCATATGTATTAGGGTGTTCCATTGACAATACATCGCCAGGGCCGTCGTCTGGAGGAAGATTGTGGACGAAATACGGCCTGATTTCTTCAGTGAAGCTATGAGTGAAAAGACAGAGTATGCTAAGTTTATAACCCATGCTTTCACTCACAGAATAATAAACAGAAGATCATCAATACTTGCTTAACATTCAGCTTTTCTTTTTACAATGATATATAAATATCTTAAAAGTATAAAAGTAAATCCAGCAAAATAGTCTCTAAAACCCTGAAATTTACACTTAACTATGAAATAGTAAGACATAAAATACTATCCCCATTTCCTTTGCCACTTACTTTCTCCACAGTGTAGTTGGATGTTCACAAAGACTCTCGGGTATTTGGAGGGACGGCGTGTATCGGTCTCTATGGGAGAAAGAGGCTGCTGCCTCAGAGATCTCATGCTGAGTGAATGACCGAGTCTGGCTGGTCTGGTTAGCAGGGGGTTCAGAGTACTTTCTATGGGAATAAATCTGTGAGCTCTGATAATAGGCTTCAGTGTGAGTCGCCTGCCTTTGGAGTGAGGATATGTCCCAGCAGGAGGAAGAACAGGAGGAGGCCTGGGATGACAGAGAGCAGACTGGTGTCTGCGAGGACTGATAGTAGGCCGAGGTCTGATTGCTCTGCAGCTGGTTGGAGGAGTGGTGGTAGGAAGTGGAAGAGGACACCTGGGGTCTAAACCATCACATTGGCAAAGGGACTTTTACTTCTTCTGTCTAACACTTGCATTAAGGATTAGAATGCAAGAGCACATAAAATCACGTCAGTAATAAACAGTCCAACCCACACAATTACATCTACTGTGGTTCAAATACTAATACTCCTATTAAATATATACTAATAAATTGTATTAAACTACTGTTGTGTCACTGTGTAGGCCAAGATGCTTCTGCAGCAATCTGCTCAGGTAAGTAATATTCTGACCGCAGTAGAAATAAGATATTGATAAAATAGAAACTCTCATTAAACATAAGTACATGTTCTCATATCTGTGTGTAGCCTCGGTGTGACCTATCTTACCGGTCTGTGTCTCCATCTTTGCTCTGCTCCTGACTCATGCTGCAGCTGCTCTGAACCAAAGGCTCCCTCTGGCTGCCATAATCTCTCTCCACTACTACATTCACAACAAAAAGGAAAAACAACAAACTCTCTGGGAACAACCGGGAAACTAAATATGTTAAGCATTATATTACCTGTATAAAATGCCTAGTTGACCTGTCAAATCTACATCGCATCTCCCTGTTTTACACTTTTTACATATAGTACGTGCCAACAAAGTGATGCAGGGAAATTTTCAAATACACAAGATTTACTGCTAAAGAAAACCAGGCTTGATAATTATTGATTTATCAAGTAGGCATGTTCTGTCAAAGGTTTTTTGTTTAATTACTTAACACTCACAAGGATAAAAATAACATACAGTATCCTTAGCAACATTCACCTTCTTACTTCAAAATCATCTCAAAAGTTACTTAACTAAAAATTCTGTTCTCAACAAAAAAAAGAGTAGAAAATATTAATTACAAACTGGCTAAATTGGTTAGGAGCAGTTTGGGGGATAAATTATGAGCAAGAAGATTTTCTGTGCTTGTGCCCTGACTGTTAATGTAGGAGTAGTTGTGGTGGCGTCTGGCTGCATGTGGACTGCCGGCCCGCAGAACAGCCAGGATCTTCTGGGCCGCCTGGGAAAGAGGTCCTGAGTACAACCTGCTGCTAGACCGCTCCATCTCCTCCCTGTCAGAATGCCCTCTACTCTCTCTCTACCTGAAGCTCTTTGACTCTGCAACTGTCAATGGCCTAAACAGGACAAAGGGGAGAGTTTGGTCAGTTACACAGACCTGGTTTACACTGGCATCCACAAAGCCCATCCAATAATGTGCATCTGCACAGCAGACTATACCAGGTATGCTGATAACCCTCCATAGATGTCAATAATGTAAAATAAAAACAAAGACATTTTACTTTATTTATTAGATGATTTAAGACAAGAATGAAACATTGATTTCTTAAAACATCAAAATACAGAACAAAACATTAAATTCAAAAATTCTTATCTGATATGTTTATGTACAAATATTTTGAAAAACAATCCAATGAATCCCAATCATCATATAAGCAGCACTGCTCTAGACTTTTCCCCCAAGTTGAGTGTTGAGTCATTGAAGACTCAAGGGACTGATCTCCGTCTCCTGCACAAAGCAAGGTCCAGACGGTCCAGATTTTGAGAAGGGTCACAGTTTCTGCCAGGGCTTGCAAACTTTCTCCACTGAAAGCACAGACTGTACTTATTAGATCTCTTCAAACTATATAACACAAGTCGACTCCCTTAACCTACAGACTGCACAGTGGGGTTGAGCTAGTTGTAAGCGCTCCTCATTCATCCTGGCTGGTTTTACTGCTGCCCTCTCTTCGCAGCCATTTTGCCTTCCAGATCCTCCACTATTTTCTTCAGTAGCCGTGCATCCAAGTTAAAGTAGATGTATAACTCCCTCTCCTGCCTGAGGAGGGCATTGCGCTCCAGCTGAGAACGCTTGGATTTAACCTCCCTCGTGATTTCTTGCGTTACACGCTGCAAACTCTGCAGCTGAGACTCTACTTCCACGAGTTTAGCTGTCAGCTCCTGTAGAGACAAGGGGACGGGGATGAGAAAGGAATAAATAAAAAGCAACAGGCTATGGAAATACATATGAGACTCTGAGGTACCTGAACTGCTTGATGGTCAGCTTTAATTATCATAAAAATAAACCAGGCCAGGATCAGACAGAAAGCGTTTTTTGCAGTGAGAGGCACTTTTGTTTTTTGTTTTTTTAAAAGGGTGCATAATCAGCGCAGAACGCTCACTGTTTAGACACCCTAGGCACCTTGCATTTTGGGCCCCTGCTGCGCCTTGCGTCTTTGAAGGAGCGCTCTGAGCGCACAGAGTTTAAAAAAATAAATAAAATTAGAATAAAATTCTATTCTGGCCAGAAAAGCGCCCGACGTAATTCGCTTTTTTTTCTCCACCCATTGTCCAATCGAATGAATGGAGACAGGCCCACAGTTGTGTTGACGGAAGTTTACAGTTGCTTGGATTGTCCGGAAACTGCAACAAACTGTCCCCTTGAACCGCCCATTATTAAGACGAAGCTACTGCACCAGCTGGTGGTACACCTGCTACCAGCGGTGTCTCCCCTTTCTGAGGGTCTCATGTACCCACGTTTCCCATTCTCCTTCATGTTTGTACACCTCTCGCCCTCAAACAATGTCAGAGAAAGCGCTCTCTGTTTGTCTGTTTTATTAAAGCAGACTGTTTTTAGCAACAAAAGACACAGACATGTGAGTTGTGTTGAAGTTTCTGCTAATTTGGCAGTTATTACGTAGCGGCAAACAAAGATTACAGATCGCTGGCACTATAATGTTTGATTAGAATGACAGGACAGCTGATTTGGTGGTTCCCTAGCAACATGAAAAAAAAAACAACAAAAGCACTGCTCTTTTCCAAATTCAACCAAAAAAGGCAGTGCTGTGCGCCTTGTGTTTTCAAACCTGCAAAGCACTTTCTGTCTGACCGAGGCCTAACTGGTTCTCCAAATAAGGTAATAAAGTTTATAGATTTCCTTTATAGTGACACATGTTGTCCATAAGTTAAATAAGTTATTAAGGAGGCACAGCTGCATTAAAAAATGCTCAGGAAATGTTAATTTCCCATGTAAATGCAAGTTTATCCTTTGAGGCGTTCCCCATGTTTCAAAATCTCATTTGATCCACGAATCCATAGATCACACCCAGTATAAGCATAGTGTTCTTCAGGTACTAAACATAAATATGCCACAACACAGAGTGGCAGCATATTGTCAAATATTCATGACTTAATGATCAACTAAATGTTACAGCTCTGATTAAAATATCTGTTCCTATTGACGAAAGAGATGCAGCTGTGCGTGAGATAGTATCCATTCAAAACTGTTGAGATGTTAAGTAAGAAAATATTAATATTCTTAAGCAAGCAGACAAATACACATTGTTCCTGATCCTAGTCTTTGTCATGCAGCAAAGCAGTTCCCTGTGAGAGCAATTTATCATGCAGTGCTTTTATACCCAACATGAGTGTCCTTTTATTAAGTATTTGTGATTTATGGGAGAAATGTGCAAAAATATATGGTGCTACCAGCTTCCCTCACCAAAGTGACGAGTAATTTTAAGATCAACTGACTCACATTAAGGACTGCTTCTGAAATGCACTCTGTATGATGACTGTATAAAACAAAAGGAAACAAACCCACCTGTGCATTGGGACAGAGTGGCACCTGGTCAGTGATGGCCGTTGGACGTACCTGCGGCCCTAAAACCAGCTGCTGGAGCTCTGTGTACATTGCTCTGTGGAGCGCCTCACAGTCGCCAGTGAGACGAGCAGCTGTGTAGTACTGCTCGCGCCCAGCACCGGAGAGAGCATCCCGGGTCACCTGGAGGTTGCCTGCGAGGTCCCGAGCAGCCTGGTCCAATGCTTTATATGTCCGGAAAGGCTCGGATCGACCGTGGTCAGAATCATTGTCAAGGATCTGGAGCAGTCTGAGAAAAGAGTTGCATACAACTATGAATAAATTACATTTTAAAGAGAGACAGCCTGCGCCTGCATTTAAAGAAAGACAAAGAGGGCCATTCAGGCCGTTTTCCTTTTCTTATCTCTTATCCATGAAGATGAGAAGAATAAATGACTAGAATTATATAAAGGTAAACTGGAATAATAAGGATTGACATTTGTAACAAACATGCTTATAAAATGCTGAGAGTTTCAGTTCTAAAAGATCTATACGAGTCTTCTCACCTGCTGAAAGCTGCATCCTTGCAGGTGATGATAGGGTTGGGCCTGGGGTTAAGAGCCAGGTCAGGGTGTGCCAGGGACTCCATTCTCAGGGTTGCCGCTTTCCCTTCCTTTACCAGTCTGCTATTTATTTCTCCCAGCTGCTTAAGACACGTCCTCCACCTCCTTATCTCCATCTCCTGAGCCAGAAGCACCAGGTCAAAGGACGCCTTCTGGCGGAGTAGGTAGTCACGTACCTAAGAGAGGAAGATTCATATTTCATTTCCACTTAGTCTTGCAGTGAGGTTGATGGTCAGTCCATGTCTTAAGCATGATTCTGACAGTGCAGATGGCTGATAATCGACACAAGGATCAAAACCCTGACTTTTATCTGTGATTAATTCTTGATTTGTTAGATCTACTAAGAAAGAAGGGCACTATTAAAACAAAAGGACAAAAGTGTAACATTTAGAGCCGCAACAAACAAGTATTTTTTATTATCGATTAATCTGTGGATCGTTTCCTCAGTTAAGTGATCAGTTGTCTGGTACACAAAATGTCAGGAAATTGTGAAAAGGGTGAATTGAAGTTTTCCAGAGCCAAAGATGACCCGTTGAAATGTCCTGTTTTGCCCAAAACCCAAAGATATTCAGTTTACTGTCATAGAGGAGTAAAGAAACATAAACAAATTCACATTTGAGAAGCTGGAATATTGGCACACTGGCATCCTGGATCTAAATCTACTTCTATGTTAACTGCCCAGCCAAAACCTTCTTTATGTTATCCCCGTTTTCTTCGGTCTTACCGCTTTAGGGGCACATGCGAGAGCCGGGTGTGGGCAGAGATAATGAGCAGACTGCAGTGCAAACTGAGAGGAGATTCTCACACACAGCACACTTTTTGTGTTTATGTAATCGCACATAACATCGCGATTGCAAATAGATTAATCGTGCAGCCCTAGTAAGAGATGATAAGAAATGTCGCTGACCTCCTACCTGCCTGCAAAAGACACTTTTTGACAGAGAAACGCAGGGTGAATTGGGCACAGGGATGGAAATTAACACCCACCACCTGCCAAATGCGGGTGGATTTTCCGTTTGGTGGCCAAATGTTGGAAGGCTACCCGCCACATTGGCATGTAAATATTCAGCATATACACTGAACAAAACTATAAACCCAACACTTTTTTTTTTTGCTTTCTCTTTGAACACAAAAGGCCTATTTCTCTCAAACATTGTTCACAAATCTGTCAAAATCTGTGTTAGTGAGCACTTCTCCTTTGCCAAGATAATCCATCCACCTCACAGGTGTGGCATATCAAGATGCTGATCAGACAGCATAGGTATTGCACAGGTGTGCCTTAGGCTGGCCACAATAAAAGGCCATGTTGTGTAGATTTATAAGGGGTGGGCTTCAGGGACAGACGACAGGAGTCGGGAGGGAAAGAGGAGAGAGTGAGAGTGAATAGCCGCTTTCATACGGAGAACAGCGCGAAAAGACTATCCGCAATTAAATATTATCTCAATTAAAAGGACAGAAACAAATGTATATGTGACACAAAAGGCAATTTATTATTTTGGCTGGTAAAAAATATGTTTGGCTGGTGGAATTTTTCCATTTACCTGCCACCTTGGCAGGTGAGCTAAAAAGTTAATTTCCACCCCTGACTGGGCGATATCACCAACTAACCTGATCCTGTCTGGAAGTGTAGTAGTCCTGCCTGGCTAGTTGCAGATCCAGGTCTCCCCTCACTACTGGCACATTAAGCAGCCTGGCTGACTCCCTAAGGGCAGCAGGTACTTGTCCATGAAGGAGAGCCTCCAGCTCAGCTTCCACCTCCTGCAGCTCCTTCCTTGACACAACTTCCCGGACATGCAGTGAGGAGGAGGTGGAAATGCTCTGGTACAGTGAAGAGATAGATGTGAAGGAGAGCTTGCAAGAAAAAGCTGAAACAGAGGTGATATTGTTTGCAAACAAAACACACAAAAAAACCAACACCATATGTGTCTGCTTTACCTTGGTATGAGAGGACTTCTCCGAGAGCCAGTCCAGCCCAGCCATGACACTCTTCTCTTCTGCCACGGCCTGCATCAGTTGGTGCTGGGCCACAATATGAGACCACTGAAGTCTGGCCATCTCTGTCCTCCTGCGGTCCACCACCCGCTCCTCCCTCTCTCGCCACTCATGCTCATTCTCTTCCTCCTCTATATCTTCGCAACAACTGAGGTCAAGGACCTGGAAGCGCTCAGAGCAAGAAGTCTGAACAATGTCGGAGATGCCCTGGAAGAAATGCCTCTGGGTGAAGGCAGTTAGTGTTTTAGTGTTGAGCTCCTCCTGGCGCAGGTAGGGATCCAGGGACAGTTGTGAGAGGAGGACAGTTGGGCTTTTGGAGATGGGAGGGTTTGATAGGGCCACAGGTTCTCCTTTTCCTTTTTGCTTGGCTTCTGGCTGAACTGGGAGATATGAAGCAAGCTTGCTCACCTCATCTGTTAGGTTTTGTAAAAGAGCGTTGGTGTCAGCATTCTCAGCTCCGATGAAAGCGCTGGCTCCTTCAGCTTGCATGTGGCGCTCTCCAGTTCTGCATTAAGTCGTAGATCAACATCTGCACGCGTGGTGGCCACAACCTGTAACCTGTTGTAGCGTCGTTGCTTCAGCTCTTTCTCTTTATGCAGTGCCTGGAGCTCTGCCTCCAAGTCCTCTATGGCCACATCCCCCTCTGCCTCAAAAAACACAGATGATGAAGAAGAGGGGCCTAAGATGTTTGCACTGCTCCCATCTGAAGGTCCAATGGTTTTTAGGACCTTGCCCAAGGCTGCTTCATCCAGAAATGGCTTGCCGGACTTCCGTAGCTCCTGAAAAGCACGCACCTCCTCCATGGTGAGAACATTGCTCTGGTTGAGGGTCCGACAGACAAAGCGCAAGAAGTGAAGGTTCTCCGGGGCACAGTCAAACAGCCAGTCGAACTCAGTGGCCTTCAGTGATGATGCACCAGGATAGCCTAGACGGCCGAGGGCCTCCACAAACTGACCACCGCCTAACATGGTGCTTCAGCACTCTTGGGGCCACGTTGTTATTGTGCTAGTCCGTCAAACAGCAGCACAATGTGGATTATGGAGGATTAGGTGAAGACCAATATAAAGAGTGAGAGCAGATAAAGCAAAGCATATTCATGATCTCTTAAGACTAGAGAGTTCCTGGTTGATTTGCATGATTTGGATCAGGGATAATCGGACAGACATTCAAAATTCATATCAGCTAGGTTGCGTAGAGCCTGATCCACATCTGCTCTTTATTTGTTTCAGGTAATCCAGCACTATATTGCACTCTAGAAATTGGAAACATTTCAACACGTAACATTGAACAGTGGATCACAAAGAACACAAAATAAACAGTAGAAGTTTTTAGTTAATGAAGTAGTTAATGATATGTTAGAGAACATTAGTACTTATTTTGTGCAAGGGTATACATGCTCCATTTTGTAGACAGTTTTAAAGAGAAACTTCAATTTCAATTTGGAAATTGTTGAATTGTACTGTATTATACTGAGATGTGTTTTCTAATATATTTTCCAACCCATATATATCAGTGAAGCTAGACTAAATATTAGAAATCACCACTCTGGATAAAGAAAAGCTATTCAACAGCACAAAAATAAAAAGAGCTTCCAAAATGCTAAGCGAACACCTCCCTGGAACAGTTTCACAAACTGAATAGGAATACTATATCCTTCATCAGGGTCAGATACATTGCAGGGTTGCTGAATTAGACTCTATTGGTTTTATTCCAAATCTTCCTGCCACAACAGATCAAATAATTTTCTCCATATCATACAAACATATCACCCTACAAGACATGTGACCAATAAAGGAAACTATGAAAAAAGCTGTGTGGTAGGTTAAGTTATACTTGTGTAATGCAGAGCTAATTACCGAACTAATTTGAATGTGAGTGTGAGACTATGTGTACCCTTTGCAGTCACATAATGTATAGAAACACCACATCAGGACACGCTTTCTTAAGAATAAACAAAGGAGGCCCAATATATTCTCATTAAAAAAAAAAAGTATCTGATAAACATGGCTAGGCTGAATACTGGGTCTCCGTGAGAATGCTACCTATGACACATGTTACTGAGTATTGATGACTGTTCATTGCATTAATCAGCATGAACAATCTGTTAGCGTTACGTTGATTGTATTAATTAACACCCGTTAAGGTTAAGAATAAACCTTTTATAGCTAACTAACGTGATTTTACAGTTAAACCAAACCCCAACGATATCACTTAAGTATCTTCTGACTATAGCACTATCATAGAGGTATATCTTTCAACTCCAACTTAAAAACACTTAACGTTAACTTATGTTTCGTTGAATCTTTCTCACAAGCAAAGTTAACGTTTCAGTAACATTAACTTACAGACGCATCTGAACATTTATCACAACATCTCCATCTTAGTTTCTAACAATAAGTTATTAATCAGTTGTCGGAGTGTTCGTAAATGCATTCTGATGGAACAATAATAATAATAACTGTGATACATAGACAAAAAATGTGCACATATTAGCTTCCGTCATCTGGTGACGGTATCTGTCCCCTCTTGTATTTAGCATGCAGCTAACAGCTAACGCTAACTTAGCTAAACAGTTAGCCAGTTAACAGCTAAAAAGTATAGCTAGCCTGCACACTAACTACCGGACTCTTGTCAGTTTTGTCGAAAACAATGTGTTTTGATGTGCCATCTTACCAACAAAAGGTTAATTTGTAAACAAACTGTCACTATGTAACTTACAATTGTATTCAGGAGCTCCGTTTGTTAGCATCCCGTCCTAGCTAGCGTAGGTGTATCTGCCCGCGCCAAACATCCAAACTTCTTCTTCTTCTTCTGATTGTTTGTTGGTGGATCAGCATACCGCCACCTACCGTATCGGAGTGTGTAGATTCATGGCATTTATTTAAACTGAATTCTGCTTAATCTACTATACAATAAATACATTTACACATTATTTCTATATTTCATAACCTATCAATCCCTTCTGAGTCCTGTCTTGAGCTCAAAAGGGATTTTAAACCCTCCATCCCTGTTCTGTCTCATGCACTATATCCTTAATGCCTCCCTCTGTCACGATCCTGTCCTGAGTTTCTCTTTTGATTCTCTGTTTCTAGGTTTTGGTTTTGTATCTACAGTTTAGTCCTGTCATCTGTTCTTTAGTTTAGTAATCTGAGAGTTTAATCTATTGGTCTGTTCGGTATCTGATGACACTGTGACATACTGCTCTGCATCTACACCAAACCAGGCTCTTTTCAGCTACAACTTGCTTTTGATACTGTACAATGCACCTTGTTTGATTTAAAACTTGTTTTGAATGATGACAAAACAAAACTTGTGTTGTTCTCCAGTGCAAAATCAAAGTCACAGACACTTCCACCCATCACTACTTCTCAGGGCTCCGAGATTGAGTCTGTATCAAGTAAGTTGAATACTAATTGATGATTCTCTCTCTTTTAAACCTCACATTCAGCAGTTAGCGAAAAAACTGAAGCTGAAACTGGGTTTTTATTTTAGAAACAAGTCGTGTTTTTCCTTTGAGGCCAATTCCGGACTGAATTGGGAAAAGGGGCGTTTAAGTATGCCCCCTGCGCTTGGAATCAGCAACAAAATGTCCTGAATCTTCAGGAGCCGGTTTCACTAGTTGCTTTTAAAGTACTTTTAAATGACATGGAGGCTGTACACACTGGCTGTAGATTTTATGAATGATTACTCGGACGATCCTTGTAGTTTATTACTTGTGGTAAATATGAAATTTTAGATATTTTATGACCTTGTAACTCACTAAGTATTCCCATCATAAATTGTTGTATGTTTTATGTTTATGTTATATGTTATATGTTTTAATGTCTGCAACCTTGTTAATTGTGCTGCTGCCTGTCTTGGCCAGGACGCTCTTGGAAAAGAGATTTTTAATATCAATGAGTTTTCTTTCTGGTTAAATAAAGGTGAAAAAAAAATCTGTTATTTAGTCTGTGCTTTGGTTCCATTTTTTCTACTGTTTCGCCTTGTTAATTCTTGTGAGGACTGTTGTGTTGGTTCTCAAGTTGTTTTCTTGTCTTACTACTTAGTCCTGCGTTTTAGTTCTGTGTCTTAGTTCATGTCTTAGTGTTTACTCCTGGTCTGTGTACTTCGGTGTTTGTTGTTATTTTGCCCATGTCTGCTCTGTGTTCTGTTCTTAGTTCAGTCTGTCTTCACTGCTATGCACTGCTACTATCTGTATGATTAGTTTTTAGTCTGTTCTGTGTTCCAGTTCATTTCTCCTCCTGTGTCAGTTGCCAGTCCCTTGTGTTCAGTGTTCAGTCTGCTTGTTTCATGCTCAGTTTAGTTTTCATCCAGTGAGTGTTCAGTTTGTATTCTGCATTTTGGTTTGGTCCTGGTCTGTTGTCGCATGCTTTACTTCCTTGGTTATTTTGTAGTAGTCAGTGTCTGGTGTTTGTGTCTAGCTTTTGCCTATTTCTGATTAGTCCCTCATGTCTTTCACCTGTTGACTCCCTCCCTGCTCGTTAGCCCTATTACTTAATGCCTGTGTTCTGTTCAGTTTTTGTCCGGTCCATGTAGTTTGCCATACTCTGTCTCCTGTGTAGTTTGTGTCAGCCCTGGCTATCTGCCTGTAACCTTGCCTGACTGCGCCTTGGATCTGTGTTTCCCCCATCAATTATTTTGGCTTTGGACTCAACCACTGCCTGTAAGTGTGCTCGCTTTTCGTTTATTGGAATAAACCCTCTGAACTGAACCTTCTCCGCTCTGTGTCCTTCATTTGGGTCCTCAACCTTGCTCAACTCTACACCCATTCGTGACACCCTCTCTGAATTATATTTACTACACTGAATGATAATGTGATCTACATCTTCCAAAGTGTTACACCACTGACACACCTGACTGTTCTCCATTACATATAAGATGGAGTGAAACCTTAATCTTGCAACAATGACTTCCTCTAAACTGTATATTAATTTTTAATATTATTTAAATATTGTCTCACTTTATTGTCTGGAACCCACTCCATCTGCCAAGATTGAAGTATGGCTGTTCTACCTAATAATTTTGCCTCTCTTCCACCATAAGATACTTTTATTAGGCTACGTTGCTCATGGCTGTCACCTCCTTTAAGAGTCTTCTTTGGCCATAAAGGTGCTTGTTCATTTCCTTTTACACAGTTATGAGCAGGGACACAACAAAACTCACCTCTATACTACATTTCTATCATTAGATCTTCTCTGACTGTTTGCCTTGATGAGAAACCTCTGAGAGCTGCTGTTGAATCTGTTTTTAATGCTGTATCCATCTGCTCCTCTGAAGGCCAAAATGACCGCAATGAACTCAGAAAACATGGACAACTTATCAGTCAATCTGTCACATGTGATGTTAAATTCTGGATTATATATAGGCTGCCAATTCCCACATGTCTGTCGTCTGGATTCTTTCAACCATCTGTATTGTCAAAAATCCTATAGAATTGTTTTTGAACCTGATATTTAACATTACAATGAATGTTATCTGTTGCTTAGCAGTTATTTTCTTCTAGCAGCTGTAAGTCAACATGAATCTAGGAGAGTCCATGGAGGAGCATAATTTAAAACAGATGGGCTGTAGTTTAACTCTTTCACATAAAACCTCAGTGATGGGGTGTTTCTTTCCACATCCTTTTTAATCAAACCCAATATGCTACTAACAGAGCATTTTTTTGGAGTTTTTCTTAAAGCTCTACATCAAATTGTTCTGAACCCTGTCCAATCTTTAGCGTGCTTTTCCATATACTACACCAACCATAATCAATAGTGGATCCAATTATTATTTTCTATTTTAAACTCCCTAGACATATCTGATCCCACTAAATCTAATATCCAGTTATACACCATTCCCCCAATAACTGACTCATTTTAATTAGTATCCCTTCTTTCCACATATGGCTTTTCAATATCTAAGTATCCAGCTGCCATTACTTCTTTCTACCTCAGAATCCACTTTGACGTGGGCTTAACAATCTTTTATGCTCTAAAAAGTAATCTAGTCTTTTCACAATAATTTGTACCATTCATTTACATAGATGTGATGTTAAAACTACAGGTCTATAGTGTTGAAGAAATATTGTGAGCCAGGTTCAGGTGGGAAGTTTCGGAGACTGATGTAGACTTAACATAGCATGGTTTATTGAGCCTGAGGAGATACAGAGCCAGCAACATGTGAACACCAAATGCCAACACCAAATCTGAAGGATAACATCGGAATTTTCCTTCGTTACAGATCTTGTTTAACAAATCTAAAAGACAAAATTAACAGCTCAACGTTTAAGTGTTGCTTAAGACACTTTATCTTGTCCAGGATCAGTATCACCACACCCAGCCATGCCCCCTTTTTTTGGCTCAGACTCTAAATTCTAAATCCAGACTACAGGCCTACCTCTGATCCTGTTCAATTTTCTCTTAATAGCTCTCTTTTCCTCTGTCCAAGCTTATCCACAAGATGGGTTCCATTGTGCACACTAGCAAACATGTTTACAAGTAAATTCGCCTTTTCTTTGGTAGTTTTTGCTGATTGTTTACCATCAGTTAGAATAGGAGTTTGAACAGATGTTTTTTGCCCACTAACATTGCCCATACCTATTTTAATTAGATTTCCCCTCTTTTGCTTTATCAGAGGAATGTGTGTTTCTCTTTGATTTACAGATTTTTACAATTGTTAACAAGCATTTTTCAGTACTGAGTTTACTTTTTCAAAGCTCTTCACACGATCTGTACCAACACACAGCTTGCACAACAGTCAATTTCACACCTAAATTGCACCAAAACTTCCAAAACACTGCTTACTTGTTTCAATATCAAATAATTTTACAAAAACACCAGCAGTTGTTCTCTCCAAGAGCAACCCTTTGTCACTCATAAACACAATTACCTAAAACACTAACAGGTAGCATTACAGTAGATGCATAATTTTATGGGAATCTTTGAAGTAGTACATTTTTGTGTGGTTCCTATTATGAAATACAGTAAGAATAGTAAGTCTTCATAGAATGTACAACAGAAAGTTATCGAAATGCAAGAGGAAAACAGGAAAAGCTTCACTGTGCTTTATCTTTGCCATCAAGTAATTCAAAAATAAACTACAGTAAATGAAGATTTCAAGGAAAACAAAAGTCAGCACTGTAAATGTTTGCTCAAAAAACAAAACACAGTTCACCAGTTTCTTGCATCTGTGTAGCAGCACTCCAGAGGATATCACTGCACACATGGTAACATTGGCATCCACTTTAGCTCTTTTGCCAATCAAGTGTCCTTGCTGGCATGATTTGGCCAAGTCCACGTGGGGGTTAGTCGTTGGGTCGTAAAAAAAAAATACAAGAATTACACGCAAGCAATCAACTTTAATTTTGGTAATATGAGTGAGAAAGGAACTCTTGAATTTTGAAAGCTGTGGTCATTGGATGTCTTGTGTTCAATCAATGCATTTTGTATTACAGCAAGGCAAGAGTCGGTCTCAGTTTGGTCCACATAGACTTCTGTTGTGCTCACCATGTGAAGAGTTTTGAAAAAATAAACTCGGTACTGAAAAATGCTTGTTAGCAATTGCAAAAAAATTCTGTCACCATTTTACAGTTCTTTTCAGTTGGTAACAAGCATTGGTCAAAACTGAAGCCACTTTTTAAAAACACTTCACACAGTCTGCATTACCAACATGCATCCTGGCCGAAGACTGCATATAATAATTTACTTGTGAAAAATAAAAAACTGAAACCAAAAACAAATTCCTTAAAGTTGCAGTTCAGTTTCTCTCGGTTGTTTCCACACTAACACTGGTACATAATGCCCACAACCTGTAATTCATGTACCCACCCCCTGAACCAGTTGTGCTACAATACACGCACATTTCCTTGTTTTACAATCAGATTGCAGTTCTTAACCACACTTTGT